ATCATACAGTCATATCAACTATTCTGCAAGATAATACTTTAAACTACATATATGCGCAATCTAACCACCCTCCTAGTATGCTATAAAAAACTATCTTATAAAGTTGAACTGAGATTGTCTGGAAATTTTTCTAGCAAAGAGGTATTCAAGAAATTTGTACCTATATATAAAGAAGTATTAGCAAATTCTGGTTATTAACACATACTCCTAACAACCTAACTTAAAACAGCAGCTTAGGAAAAACCGCTCATCAAAATAATTTGGTACAACCTTCCATTTTTTACCACAAATACATTTAAATATTTTTTTAATTTTGATTGTGAAACATTTTCAAATTAACTACATAATACATAAAATTTCAATATGAACACTGTAAAAAATCATCTTCCAGTTGTATGCCAAACATAAAAATTAGTAATAAATTTAAACAACAACATCCTAAACAAAAATCCAACCATCAATAAAATTAACTGCAACTGCCTGAATAAAAACATTTCCTCTTTACTGAAAGGTTAAAAAAAAGTGGAAGGGGGGGGGGTTAGGGGAAGAGCACTGGCTCCTTTATTTTTTTTCTTTTTCCTTTAGATATTTCTAGACAACTTTTTTTCAGAAATTGACAATTGTGTCCCTCCACTTTGAAACCAGTGTTGGCCCTGATGCCGACCATCATTCAACATTCCTGAATATAAAAGCAATGCAAAAATGTCAAAAGAAGTTTTAAAATAAAAAGACTAATAAAAATCCTGTGGTTAGTTAGAAAATGATCAGATGAAGTGAAGCGTACAATCTAACAACCAAGTTGTGCAAACTATGTATTAATAAAAGATATGAATTTGTTTCAAACAATAACAAGTGTCTTTCAAATAAAAAATTGAAATTCAAAATGTCATTGAAATAAATTCCTCGATTCTTATTTTGATGCAGGTTCGACTAAAATATTCACATCATCAATTTTTGATGTCAGATTTTATTAATTTGTTTAATATAATAATATATTTAGTATTTTTAACGATTTTTTAATTTCTTGATTTAAAATTATATGGCTGATGATTGCTGCCATGCATGAAATCTGAGTACCACCAAAATTATATATTTTCATGTGAATATTTATTTTATGTATTTATGTATATATATATATTATATATATATATATATATATATATATATATATATATATATATATATATATATATATATATACATAATATATATATATATATATATATACATATATATATATATATATATATATATATATATATATATATGTATATATATATATATATATACATATATATATATATATACATAATATATATATATATATATATATATATATATATATATATATATATATATATATATATATATATATATATATATATATATATATATATATATATATATATATATATATATATATATATATATATATATATATATATATATATATATATATATATGTATATATATATATATATGTATATATATATATATATATGTATATATATATGACATTATTTTAAAGGTAATAAATGGAGTCCACAATGAAAAGGATGATATCATTCAAACATTTGTAAATGAAAATCAAAATGGTTTTAGATCTATTCAATTAGAAGAAAAATTACAACAATTCAAGAGTGTTGCAAAAGTAAGCAAAACAATTGTACATTTAGATATGTCAAAAGATGTCAAAAGTTTTAATAGTTGAGACTTTTTTTAATAGAAAAATGTTTCTTCATTTTTAGTAAAAAAAGAAGTTTTGATCACTTATAGTCTTCATTATGTGAAGTGAGGAAGATTATACTAAATATAATATATATAAGATTTTATTTTTCATTGTTGTTAAAATGGTTCAATATAACTGTTGTAATAGGTTATTACAATTGTTATATTGAACCATTTTTCACAAATATATCAAATTATTATAAAAAAATATCAAATAAAAAAAAAAAACAACTTATTTGAACAATTGTTCAAAAAAAATAATAAATTTTATAGAAAAGTTTAAAATGAGTAAAAATGCAACTATTTATTTCTAAATAATGGTTTGTTTTAAAGATATTGGCTATATGTTGATTCGAAATGATTTGGAGAACATTTTATATAACTTCTATAATAAAATGTTACTAAATTGATTAAAATGGCGCCTATCAACTATATTTTCATAAAATAACATTGTTTTCTTTTTGTGTGTTGCCTATATTATAGAAATTTCACTTTCTAACTGATTTTTTTTTTAAATTTCAAGTCAAACATATTCATATTTGGATGTTTTTAAAAAAAAAAAAAATTTAATGTTGAGGGTTAGGGTTAGGGTTAATACCATCATTATTCATCATTATTAGGGTTACTACCATCTTCATTAGGATTGCTACCACCATATTGACATTTAAGTACTTGAAATAGTTATGTTTTTATTTATATGTTTCTAAATAAGAGCATTTTCGGAAAACCAGCAAAATTGCTTGAAAAAGATAAAAATTCTAATTTTCCACATAAACATGAAAAAAATTTTAATTTTTCATATAAACATTGTTTAGAGATAATGAAATTTTGTGAAATCTTTTTTCCCATGAAACTATAGGTGTAAATTTCAAGTTTCTGAAATAAAAAGTTTGGTTTATTTTATATGGAATAATCCTGTTGCAGATTTTTTCAAATATATTTGATACCTTTTTACTCATTGACAGCTGTTCAAAAAGATTATTTTAAAAATCAGGTACAAGTCTAAAGTCTCATTAAGATTTTTACAAAAAAACTATTCTCATAGAATCAGGTTCATAACTCAGGTTTATTACATAAATATCCTTTATGAATTCTGAAAAGTACCTCTGCTGCTTTTTTCTTTTTTTTCTAAGGAAATACATAGGATACAGTCCTATGTATTGCAGCAAGGCAGTAAATACAAGAACTATTTACTAGGTATTACAGCAGAGCAGAAAATGCATGAACTGTGTCCTATATATTGTAAATGTCCTTGCTTTTGAATTATAATATAAAGTATAATGTTTTGCGATTATTCATAATGAATGGTGTCCTTCGGATGTAACTTTTGAAACTGAACATTTTTTTGTGACGCGTGTTTATTGGTGTTTCTTTAGTTAGAGTTGTAGTTTTTTTCTTTTTTCTTTTTCATTTTTTTTCTTTAGTTGGTAGTTTTTAAATGTATTGTAAATCTAATGTTTGTCTTAATCATCGTCTAATTTTCTAGAAATTTTCTATGTTTTTAGAAATAAGTATTTTATTCATAAAATTATCTATAATTTTTTATTGTTTGTTATTTTTAATTTTACATTAGCATAAATGTATGGTACCGATGCTGATGGACAAAAAGTATTTTGTATTCCTTAAAATGTTTATGTTTTGTGGTTAATGTTGATGTCAATACCAATGGATTGTTGTCCAATGCTATTGCTAAAATGTTCAAAAGTATAAAAGCAAAGTTCTCAAAAATATGAGTATATCTATATTAAAAATATGAGTCGAAAAATAAGGTGTAGAACTGTTGGACACAAACCTGATTTAAACACTTGTTTTTAAAGATATGAGATATGATATATTAAAAAATGTACAAATAATCCATTAGGCGGAAAATCGGTAAATAAAAAAAAAAACCAAAAAAAAACAGATGTAGATATTGATTGTCCTGTTTGATGCCAAATAATCAAAACATCACTAATATATATAATAAACTTTTGTTATGTAAAGTGCAAAGTGCATTTGTTAATATTAAATATTATTAAACATGCCATATTTATACTTTCATATTATGATTCAACTAACCCAATGGACTGTTACAACTTGCCTCAATAGTAGGTTTTTGTTGGAACATTTTTTTGCAGCTTTCAAAAGTACATTATCTAGATACATAAATCAAAGATACATTAAAAACTACATAGCTAAGTTTTATCTATATTGGGGAATATTGTGTTCTTTAGTAAGTAGTGTTTAAACAATAAAACAAATTTCAAAAAATATTTGCATTTTGGCACAAGTTCTCAAATTAAAAAAAAATATTCCAACAAACCCAATATATGTAATGTATATATATATTTAATATATATATATATATTTTTAAAGATATGAGATATGTTAAATATATATATATATATATATATATATATATATATATATATATATATATATATATATATATATATATATATATATATATATATATATATATATATATATATATGTATATATGTATACATATGGATATATATACATATGTATATGTATAAATATATATATATATATTATATATATATATATATTATATATATATATAAATATTATATATATATATATATTATATATATATACATATATATATGTATATATGTATATATATAAATATATATACATATATATATGTATAAATATATATATATATATATATTATATATATATATATATATATATATATATATATTATATATATATATTATATATATATTAAATATATATATACATTATATATATATAATATATATATATATATCAATATATATATATATATATATATATATCAATATATATATATATATATATATATATATATATATATATATATATATATATCAATATACCATATATATATATATATATATATATATATATATATATATATATATATATATATATATATATATATATATATATATATATATGATATTTTTTTAAACTTTTATTCTTCTGAAATAATTTCAGGCCACCTTACCGCTTCAATGTCTGATCATCTTGTTCAGTTTATATTAATTCCACATACCAAAACTCAAACTTCATCTGAAATTTTTAAAGCATCACCTATTGTTAGGTGATGCTTTAAAAATTTTTAAAAAGCTGAATTTATCCAAGAAATTTCAAATGTTGAATGGGATGACCATATAATAGACGACAGTGATGTTATTGATTCTATTAAAAAATTAATTGAAGTTTTTGATCATATCTCAAACAAACATGCTTCTTATAAAAAGTTAACAAAAAATCAAGTAGTTAAACATAATCAACCTTGGATAATGAAAGGCATTCTCAAGTCAATAACAATTAAAAATAAACTTCATAAAAAATATTTAAAATAAAAAAACTGTAGAATAAAAAATTTATATTTTAAAAAATTTAAACACTATCGTAATAGTATAAGCAATCTTCTAAAGTTTAGCAAAAAGAAATATTACACAAACTTTTTTAGCCACAACATCAATAGCATAGAAAACACCTGGAAAGGTATAAAGGAGCTGATAAATGTTAAACAAAATAATAGTAATTCCCTAACAAGCATACTTATTAACAACAAATGCGAAACCAATCCTAAAACTATGAATAACCATTTTAATATCTTTTTTACCACGATTGCTTCAAAATTATCTTACGAAATTCCAAATTCTAAATTCAACTATCATAAGTACCTGACCAACCCTACTAGCAACTCTTTTTATATGCAACCAATAACGAAAGAGGAAACTCTTGATTATATAAATTCCACTATTATAGAAGGGAGGATTGTTGGACCAAATAGTCTTCCAACAAAACTTTTTAAACTGGTATCAGGAACTCTATGTAAACCAATTAGTATCATTTTAAACAATTCATTTTGCAAAGGAACATTTCCTGATGCCTTTAAGCTAGCTCAAATTATTCTGATTCACAAAAAAGGATTGACAATTGACTGCACTAACTATCGTCCAATGTCTCTTCTTTCTAATGTAAGCAAAATATTTGAAAAAATGTACTTGTCTAGTAACATAATTTATCTTGGTGATGAAAAACTTTCATTCAAAACACACATATCTGACCTTACTCTGAAGTTAAGTCATTCCAACGGCATGTTAGCAAAAGTTCGACATTACGTTAACTTTGAAACATTGCTCTCTATATATCACTCAATTTTTGGTTCACATATAGGATAAGCATGTCAAGTTTGGAGACAATCTAAAACCGTATGTCTCTCTAGAGTTTTTTCACTTCAAAATAGAGCGGTACGGATTATTCATTTTTGTCCGAGAAATTTTCCTACTGACATCCTATATCTTACATCCAAAATTCTTCATTTCTATGATTTAATTCAGTTCTTAAATTGTTCATTTGTCTGGGATCAACAACATGGTGTCCTTTCTACTATATTTCACAACTACTTTAATAATAGAACAACATGTGGGTATAACCTAAGATCAGTCACTTATAACAACTTAACTCTCTCACTAAAACAGACAAGTAAACACGGAATTAATTCCATTACATACCAGTGTATCCTTTCTAGGAACTCCCTTCCGAACACCCTTAAATCAGGTCTCATCCTTAGGTTCAAGGTTCCTTAGGTTGATTTTAAGAATCTGTTCTTAAAATCACTCCATCATTTCTACCTAAAAGGTTACGCTTAACTTTAGTTTTTAATTTTTTACTTTCTATCTTTTGACTTATTTTTTTATTTTTATTATAGTTTATTATTTATTATAATTTTATTTTTAATATTTTATTTTAAATAATTATTTTTATTTTAACTTACTTATTTTATTATAATTCTTGTTTAAGTATATGTGCATATATAAATGTACATTATATTAATTGTTATATATATATTAAAAAGTCTGATTTTTTTGGTATAATTAAATAAATTTTTATGCAATTTTACTTTTATTAGTTAATATTATGTTTACTTATTTAACTTAACTTTCTTTTATAACCTACTTTTTTATGTGGTTTTACTTATTACATACTATTATTATTGTTATTATTTTTTTTATCTTATTTAGGTCATTGTGCTTTATTAGTGAATCACTATTTGCAATGACCTGTGTTTTTGTAACATCTGTAACACGAAATGTATATTGTTATTGTTATACATATATATATATATATATATATATATATATATATATATATATATATATATATATATATACATATTTATATATATATATATATATATATATATATATATATACATATTTATATATATATATATATATATATATATATATATATATATTATATATATTATTTAAAATCTGTCTGTTAAGTGTTTCTAGAATTTTTTGTTTTTAAAATGTCAAACAAAGTTCTTAATAACATTGATATATATATATATATATATATATATATATATATATATATATATATATATATATATATATATATATATATATATATATATATATATATATCAATGTTATTAAAAACTTTGTTTGACATTTTAAAAACAAAATATTCTAGAAACACTTAACAGACAGATTTTAAATCAAATTATCTTTTTTTTACCTTTTAAAAAAAATTATGTTTATTTTTAACATATTTTCTAAACTAGATTGCAAGCGGAGAGATTGAAAATATTATCAAAGAAGAATCTAAGCTACAAAGTGATAGTAAGTCTAAACTATGCAACGAGTCTACAACAAATCATTTAACGCTAACTCATCAGAAGCTCAAAACCAAGCTGAGCAAGTATGAAGTTTTGCACGCCATGTATTCTACATTCTATACATCTGTTGAAAAGGTATTTTTTCTCAGTAAAATTTTTATGCCATGTATTCTACATTCTATACATCTGTTGAGAAGGTATTTTATTTTCTCAATAAATTTTTATAGATAAAATAACAAGAGCTTTATATAAGTCATCTTTCAAAAGATTTTTTCTCAATAAATCGCATTTCAAAAGATTTTTTTTTCAGTTAGTCAGATTTCAGTAGATTTATTTCACTAAATCAGTTTTCAGTAGACATTTTTTTTTTTCAGTAAGTCAGATTTCAATAGATTTGTTTTAAGTAAATTTTATTAGAAATAGTTCATTTGTTTTATATTCTGGTTACTTTATATACCTTATATACTCAAGTAACCCTAACCCTGACTTTATTGCATCTAACCCTGGCTTGATTAATTTATAATTGCTTTGGTTATAATTATTACTTTTATTATATACCTTTTTAGTTTGTTACTTATATGAATGAGTTATTTCATGATAATTATATACCTTAACTTTTATATTTTAGTTGGTTACCTATATGAATGAATTATTCCAAGATTATTTGTATGGTGTTTTACCGAGGACAGTAGTTTCAGCACAATATAAACTTAAAGATCACTCTATGGCTTTTAACTCTTTTGAACAGCTTTTTTCTCAAACCATTCAAAGTAGTCAATTTATTTTAGAGTTTTTTGAGCCAACTGAAATAACTCCTAGTGTTATTCCTTTGGATGGAGTTAAATCGTCAGAGGAAAAGAGTACAGAAGATAATGATTTGCAATTTTTAATATTTCTGCAAGAGTTATTTGAAGTATTTTTTCTTCAAGTTTTAGTTATTATTTGTAATATTAGAATAATAAACATAATAAACCAAATAATATATAGCAGCAGAAGTTTTTTTAAATAATTTTCCTTTTTTTAATTTGTTATATGCAAAATAATAAAAATATAAAATATAATAATGTTCAAAAATAAGTAAAATAAATTATAATAAAAAAATAGCAAAATTTAAAAAAGTTTTAAACTTATTTGAATTACGTATTTCTTGTAAATATTACGCTTAATTGCTTTTAATTAAAATAATTTTTGATTTAAAAAAATTATTTAGAAAAAGTTTGAAATTTGATAGCATTTTCTAGAAAAAGTTGGCAACAGTTTTATACTTTGATTTAATAATGAGATTTTTTTGACGCAGCACAAACTGCAAAAATGCAACAAATATTTTGTCACTTTTTGTGTCACTTTGCATGTCACTTTTTGTGTCACTTTGCATGTCACTTTTTGTGTCACTTTGCATGTCACTTTTTGTGTCACTTTGCATGTCACTTTTTGTGTCACTTTGCATGTCACTTTTTGTATTAACTGTTTATTAGGTTATGTTGGCAACTGAAGAACATATTCGCCAGGTCTTAAACTTTAGTAAGAAATTTGGTGATTCTCTAATATCTGCAGTAACACTCTGTCAAGAATCGGATCAGTTTCATGATGAGATAAAAGTAAATAGTTCTTTTTTTTTTTATTTTATTGGAATAAGTTGAGTATTTGTTTTAGGGTTGAAATCACTACAGTGCTGAAAACTTTTTTTGGGTTGGTAATTCTTAAGGATCAAAAATACCTTTTGTTTTTGAGTTAAAGACACCAATTTTTTTTAGGTCTTTATTAATTGAACATCAATTTAAAATTATACTAACCAAGATAAATAATAATTTTTTTTGTCAAGATATTATAATACTATTAAAATGTCAATAAAGTACATGGGGGTATAATGGATATGTAACAGGAAATATAATAATATATTGAATATGTAATAAAAAAATAAAAATAAACAATAAATTAATGATTTTCTTTTAAACATTTGTCATAAAAATTAATGAGTGTTTGTTTTATTAATAAAGAAAACAGAGCAGCAAATCAACATTTTACGCACTAATGTATTTATAAGCGCTACTCATCCAGAATATGGTCAAATGGAAAAAAAAAAAGTACTGTTAGAAAAACTTTGGGGAAAACTTGTTGAAATGATGGAAAACCATCGAACAATTTTAAATACGGCTGTAAAGTTTTATCAAGTTTGTGATCAGGTATTATTCTTATTATTGCTTTTTTTTAGTACTTTATTTATCTAATATTATTGTTATTATTATTGTTATTGTTGTTGATGTTGTTATTATTATTATTATTATTAGTATTATTATTATTATTATTACTAACTGTCATGACCCGTAAAATACAGGTCTTTAGGATATTGATGCGCACTTTATCCGCGTGCTTACAGCTCATTATAACTCTTATCCGGCTTATAACGAAAGAAAATCTCAATCAAATGAAAACATCTTTCTAAATGATAATTTTTAATGTCCTAGATACAATTATTAAACTTATTGATTGCATAAACACTACCTCTAACATATTTTAATTAAAACTGAGAAAATTGTTATTTCAATAAGTGATGAAAACAGAAACTTTCAGTGTAGAATCAGCTTCAAAACTCGTCGACTTAAATAAATCTGTATTTGTCAAAAATGAACTTTATTTCTCACTTAAGTATAAAACTTATATTAGCATTTCAAATCTTATTTAAATTTTAATTATTTAATTATTAATTAACTATTTCTTTTTATTTTTAAAAATGTTTATTTTACTTAAAGCCACGTTATAACTAATTTGTTATGGTGTTTTGTAAAAAGTATTAGTTTGAATTTTGAAACTTGACTACTTGTAACTTAAATATATTCCCACCCCATTTTGTATATTAGATTTGCACTAAAATTCCTACAGGACCCCTTTTGAAAAAGACTACACTATAAAAAGGATTTTAAACATTCATTAAACTCTATCAAATTTACGAAACAAAAAAACTCTTTACTTGTTCCATAACAAAAAGCTGTTTTTAATACGGATCAATAAATGTGATAAAATTTTGCAGGCTGAAAAATCAAGGGGAGAGGGAGTTAAGAAATGGCCCAATAAAAACTATCGTTATTGTTGTTGCTTTTTATAGCTATATTACTATTAAGCCAGAATTGTATAATCGAAAAAAAAGAAAAAAAAAAATTCAAAAAAATAAAATAAATAAAAATACTTGGAAAAGAAACCAAATAAAAGAAAAGCATTTTGTTAAAAAAGTATATGAGGCACCTCACAGTAGAAGATACCAAGTCTTAGTTTTTAGATTCAGAGGTATACGCATTGAAATTACCTTTTTTTTTTTTTTTTTTGAGCAGTTTTATTATTATTATTATTATTATTTTTTTGTTATTCACCTCCTCAAGGCTGAGAAAGCCCTTACAGACGAGGAGGCTACTTAATAGTGGTTATAACCTTCTCTCAACTCTATAACTCCAAAACACGAACCTTAACAAACAAAGCCGCTACGCGGAGAAACAAGTTGAGCGCGGTACTACCAGGGACGTGATGGGGATCGAACTCAGAGCCTCTCGCTTATGAAGCAAGTGTTTTACCACTACACCATTACCGCATTTATTGCTACCGCATACTACCGCATATATTATTTAGTAATAGTTTTTGAAATAAATAATCAAAATATACATTAACTTTATTACTATGTTAAATTTATGCAGTTTTAAATTATGTCAAACTTTTTATATCTTTTTACTGTAATTTTATTTTTGAAACATTTTCATGAAAAACTATGTAGAATTTTTAATAATAATGCTATCAAGCTAGTTTTTGTTTTATTTTGTGGCTTATTTCTAATTCTATGCAACTGTATCAGTAACTCCGAAGACTTGGTACCTTTTACTGTAAAGCACCTCATATGTTAAAAAATAATTCATAAAGGCCTTTATTGTTTAAAAATATTTACAACATTGGCAATATTTATCTTAGGAAGGGTAAAGAAAAACAGCCATGCATATATTGTAAAATTTAATCTAATTGTAATTATAATTGTAGGTAACACCACGTTACATAGTTATTAATACATATATATATAGGTTATGAAATGTAAAACTAAAAATTAACTTACCAGCAGCAGCTGCCTTTATAGCAGATGGTTCACTTGTTGTTGTTGTTGTTGTTGTTGTTATTGTTGCTGATAAAGTATTAAATAAAAGTAATTAACAAAATGAAAAAATAATAATAACAAATAATTATTCTTATAATAATATAAAAAAGCTGTTTATTTACCTTAGAGTTGTGCCAGCTGCTGCCATTGACAATGATGGTGCCCGGACTATATATAATCAAAAAATCTATGATTTCATAATACAAAAGAAACTTTACAATAAAAAAGAAACTTAATTCTTCTATATGTTTAAATAATACTATATGTTTATATAATATGGTGATGTGTATACCACCACCATATGTATGTGTATAACCATACTGTATAATCAATAGTTATTTGAAAGAAACCATGTTATAAAAATAAAAGTCAAAGATATTTTTTACAGGCTCCATCTTCCTTAAAAAATTATTAACTAAAGAGAAAAAACAATTTTACTGTATTATAGTTTTATATAAAGTGATATTTAAAAAAATTAAATAAAACATGAGTATTACAATAACAAATAAAAAGTTTAAAAATCAATACAATCCAAAATCTTACACATTTCTTCCATAGATTGCACTAAAATAATGTAAGCTATTGATTATGACACAATCAAAAATAATTTAATTAAATTATAAACATAATAACAAATAATTAAAAAAAATAATTTAAAAATTAAAACTTACAAAACATTAGTTGAAAGTTCACTACAAAAAAAATAATACTTATACTAATACATTTTATGTCTATGAAAATCTTAAAATAATAAAATTTAAATAAATAGAAAACAAACTGTTATCAACAGAACACCAAACAAAAAATTTTTAAATTTTTTTTTACCTGATTATGGTTGTTGTTGTGGTTGTACTAAAAAAATTAATACAGATTAAAAAAAAATGCGTTAGTAAAGAAAAAGAAAAACACAAATTATTAAGAAATTTTAAAAAAAAGATTTAAATACATTAAAACAAAAGGTTTCTTTCTTATCAGATTGTGGTGGTTGTTGTGTTTCAAGTTAAAATATAAAAAGAGATAAAAAAAAATAATTAAGTAAAAGAAAAACAAATTGATATCAACAACACAACAAATAAAAATAGGTTTTTTTATAAAAGAGATTATTTAAAAACATGAAATTAATTTCTTACCAGGTTGTTGTTGCACTGCAAATTAAAAAATGTTTAGTATTAAAAATAAAAACACATAATACTTTTTTTAAAAAGAAATCCTTTTAAAAAATTTTTTAAAAAGAGACTTTAAATACATTTAAAAAAAATCTTACCTTTTGATTGTGGTTGAAAAAAAATCTTACCTTTTGATTGTGGTTGTTGTTGTGGTTCTAGTAAAAATATATTATCTGTATAAATACAGATTTAAAAAAATACATTAGTAAAGAAAAAGAAAAAAACAAAAAATTAAAAACTTTTAAAAAAAAGATATAACTACATTGAAACAAAAGGTTTCTTTCTTACCAGATTGTGGTTGTTGTTGTGTATCTGCTTAAAAAAAACAACAAAAAAACAGATTAAGAATAAATAATTAAGTAAAAGAAAAAAAATTGGTATCAATGGCACAACAAATACAAAATAGGTTTTTTCTAGGTTTGAGGGGCTATTAAAAAGCACAGAAAAATTCTTACCAGGTTGTGGTTGCACCACAAAATAAAAAAATGTTCAGTATTAAAAATAAAGAAAATACAGATAACTTAAAAAATTGTGGTTTAACTAAAAGCAAATAGTAAAGTATATGGAAAGCAAATAAACAAAAAAAATTTACAAGTAAATAAAAATAAAATCGACGACTTAATGAACAAATAAAGACAACTAAAATCGAATTACTGAACAAATAAAAATAAAATAAAAGCGACTTTACTAAACATTAAATCATCATCTAAAGCCTCTAAAAATTTAAAAAAAGGTCAATAAACAATTTCAAAAAAAATTAACTAAAGAGAAAATAAAAAACAAATGCTACCTGACATGATTTTGAGTGATATTTATAAAGTTTAAAAAAAAAATCTAACAATGTAATAATCTAACGAAAACAATATGACAATGTAGTTATTAATGTAATAAATCTAAATCCAAAAGTCAAGAATTAAAGAGATGTAAGAAAAATTTTGTAAAAAGTTTTTTTTTTTAAGCTTTAAAAAGCTTTAAATTTAACTAAGCCTCGCGGTGGATTAAAACCGCGTGGAAATAAAACTTGATTAGCATTTTGTTTAAAAAACCTTGGTTGGCACTTTGTACCACGGCAATATTTATATACAAAAAAGCTGAATTTCTGTTTTTGTTTCATACTTATGATGAGGTTTTGACAATTTTTTTTTATTTCCTCGCTGTGGTGCCAAACATTTATTAATTTTTCAATCAAATCTCTTTTATTTGTTATAAGATTTTTACTTATATCCCTCTTTAACAATTCCCATAAATTTTCTATGGGATTTAGGTCGGGCGAGTTTCCTGGCCAGGGTAAAACATGGATTTTTTCAGCCTCTAAAAACTTTGTTACAGTTTTTGCCTTATGGCATGGAGCAGAGTCGTGCTGGAAGGTAAAGTTCCCATTCGGATACCACTCCATCGCTTGAGGAATCATTATTTCCTTCAAGACTTGGATGTACTGGTCCTGCCGCATTGTATTTTTTACAATGTATAACCTTCCAGTACCCTGGCTACTAATGACTGACCAGACCATAATTTTTAGCGGGTGCTTCACCCTCTCCACAAGAAAATCTTCATTGATTGAAAATCTTCATTTCACCTGTCCTTCTTTGGACGAAATTAGTTTTATCCATTAGAATTTCCAATGTGGATTCATCTGAGAAGCAAACCTAAAATTTTCAAAATTAGGTTAATATTTTTGATGAAATACTTATATTCTTTTTTTTTAATATGGTATTCGTTTAAATTTTAATGTGTTTATGAAGAGAAACTGAGTACTTACTCTTTCCCAATCATCAGTGGTAAAATGGTGATGATTTTTAGCCCATTGGAGACGTTTATCCTTCATTGCCTGGGTGAGCCTTGGTTTTTTGGCTGGTCTACAGGCCTTAAACCCTTGCTCCGCCATTCTTCTCCGAAGTGTTGCAAGGGATATTGTTATACCTTCATTGTTTATGATTTCCTTAAGCACTTTTTTCAATTTTCTCCTATTTTCTATCACAATATCCCTTATTTTTCTTTTGGTGCGAGGCGTTGTAATTTGATTTTGTCCACAATTTTTTCTTTTATTCAATTTTAGTGATTGATTGTTGTCCAGTTTTCTTTTAATCCTATCGACTGTTGCTCTGGAAACATTCACACACTTGGCAATTTGCCTGTTGGAATGATTTCCACTCGACAAATATCCTTGAATAAGCCCTAGTTTTGTGGGAGAAATATCTTTCTCTTTGCCCATACCTTAAAAACATCAATTATTTTAAAAAATTGCAAAATTTACCTAAATATGATAAAAAAGTTGTAAAATAATGATAACTTACTTGTAAATAGAATATATGATAAGTGTTGAATAGTATAATAAACAAATTTTGGTGTAAAAATATAAAATCAACAAATAAAAACCGCCAGAAACACAACTATCGCCCAGTACAACACGTGCTAAAATGTGACATCTTCTGCAATAATGCAACCAACTTCACTCTAAACCGCTCAATAGTGTTGTCATTGTAAAAATATGTTCAAAACAAAGTAATTAACAATGCGAAATGACAAAAACTGGACATCCGTATGTATTTTAATTAATTTCACAGTCGAAACTCAAATATTGTCTAAATTTCGAGGTGGCTCTAATTTTTTGAGCCAAATATATATATATATATATATATATATATATATATATATATATATATATATATATATATATATATATATATATATATATATATATACACACAAACACTAACACACACACATATAAATATAGGCAATATTTCAGAATAAGATAAAAAATATGTTTGAAGTTTTTTTTTCATTCCTATTATTTGTTACTCTATATTCTTTTTTAATAGTATTAAGTGAATGGTAAAAGATTATCGATATTACCTGCCAAAGATTGGTAGGTAATATCAATATCAATAAATCTGTATATATAATGAAAAATTGGTTAGAATCAATTTATAAAACTGTGAATAAGACAAGACTAAAAGTAAAAATAAAAGGTTAGGGTTACATCAGAACTGCAGGGTTAAGGTTACATCAAAACCACAGGGTTAGTGGAATATCAAAACTGCAGGGTTAGTGGGATATCAAAACTGCAGGGTTAGTGGGATATCAATATACAAGGTAAATTTTTTTTTTTATTTAACCCTAATTTATATCTTATTACAGATTATTACAATGTAATATGATTCATCTGGAATAAAAAAATATTAAGCTACATATAACTATGAATAAAAGTAGGAAAGACCAGGTCTTATTGCCACTGTATATACTCTTTGAGCTTTGTAGCACTTGTAGAATATGAATTTTGGTAATACATTCAAGTTGCATTCATTATTAAGAGAAAATATTTTGACTTTTAATTTGGCAGCAATTTTAAACCCAACTCCAAACCCAAAAACTCCAAAATAATGGTTTGTATAATAAGTCAAAGCAGTAGCACACTTTTTTTCTAGTTAATATAAATCCACATTATAAAATATATTTATCAATATTTTTAAATATCATAAAGAAAATATTGTTATAGTAAATGCTATAAACTAACTAGCTAGAGAAGAGCTTGCTAACTAGCTAGAGGGGAGCTAACTAGCTAACTAGAGGAGAGCTAACTAGCTAGAGAAGAACTAACTAACTAGCTAGAGGAGAACTAACTGGTGGTCAGGTCAGGTATATGGTCTTCATGATCACCCTGCTACTGGTAACATGTAACCCAGTGCAACCTGATTTATGTCCTGCTGCCTTGTGATTTTCGCTTTCTAAGCAAAGGCTGCAAGGAGATTTCTTCCTTTCATCAGTATTATTTAAAATCAGTGATGCCTATAGTAATTCATACATGTTTATATTTTGTGTGTGTGTCTTTTATATAGTAATAGGTGCCTTAGTTACTGTTTTAGCTCACCTGTAATCTACTTTATATGTTTGTGTTCTGTCTAAACCTCTGGCGCAGTGTTGATTCACCCTTAAGTTGCTATCTGTGTGTATCTTGCTATTTGTGTTTTGTCTGTATGTTTGTGTTCTGTCTGTTTATGTTTATATGTACAGTATTGAACAAAACATTTGCAACCAACATCGAACAATGCTAAAAAGTGTTCCTAATTTTACATGTCTTAAAAATGAAACGAACTATACTACCCCAACAAACAGTTCAGGAGTCTGGAGTCATAGCATGCCATGACATGAATAATCAGCTGACAGGTGACAGCACACAGGCAGAATTTCGTTGACAAGTGCCATTTTGTAGCGGACAAAACAAGTGGAACTTTTTTGGTTTGTTTCATTTTCTTAAGTCTGGTCCATGTAAACGTCACGGAGGTTTTTTAATAATTAAAGGAAGTATCCAGGCGTTGTGTTCCACAGAGCATTATTGTATCATCACATGGTAAATTTAATACGGTAAGCCTTGAGAAGCGTGATTATTTATTTTTATTATTTTTATGACTTCAAGTGCAAAAATGGCTCCCGACAGTCTTGGATTCGAACTAAGAAAGAAAATTATTGGCGATTATGTAAGTGGAATGTCACATAAAAGTATGATAAATATCGCGTGAAAAAATGGACTGTATCAAAACTCTGTTCCAAATATCGTTCTACGGGGAAGTTGGCAGCAGATAACAAAGGTGGAAGACCACATTCCAACACTTCTAGAGAAGATTCTATGATTAACAGATCCGTCAAGAAGGATCCCTGGATATCATCAGTCGAGATACAAAAGCAATTAGAGCTGCCTGTATCAGACTGAACAATCAGACGACATGCTGTTGAAGCTGGATTGTTTTCTCAACGCTCTGCAAAGAAACCGCTGATTTCACTAAAGAACCAGAAGAAAAGACTCCTTTTTGCTACATCTCATATTGACTGGAATGTGCAGAAATGGTGAACTGTCCTGTTCAGAATCGAATTTCAACATCATTGTGAGCGATGACATTTGCCATGTATGTCGACCAGCCGGTAAAACGCCTCGATTTACGTTACTGCCAAAAGACCGTGAAGCATGGTGGAGGCAATGTAATGGTCTGGGAGTGTTTTTCTGCTAACAGTCTAGGTCCAATACATCTAATCGATGGAAAAATTGACCGTTTCATGTGTAAAAATAACCTGAAAGATGTTATGTTACCTCATGCTGAATGGAATACGCCAATAAAATAGGTTTTTCAGCAAGACAACAATCCGAAACACACTGCAAAAGTAGTCAAGCAGTTGTTTTAAGACAACCATCTATCGGTGATGGATTGGCCGCCTCAATCTCCAGATCTCAACCCTATGGAGAACCTGTGGGAGATCGTCAACCGCAGAATTAATTGTGAAGGTGTTCGTAATAAGGATCAACTGTTAGAACAAATCCAAAATGCCTGGGCAGCGATTCCACAAAATTTTATTGATCACCTGATCGAATCTATGCCTTGAAGATGCAAGGCTGTGATTGACAACAAAGGATTCGCCATGAAACTTTGGTAGCGAAATACAGATTGGCCAACATTTTGTGGAGTTGCACTTGTTTTGTCCAGAAGCAAATCAACTTTTTTAAATACTTTTGATTAATTTTTTAATTTTCGTGTACAAATAATGAACTTTGCAATGAATAAAACTTGAAGAACGTTGTCTCTAAACAGTTACATAGTTATTTCTCTAAATTGAAAAAATGCAGCATTTTTATATAAAGAAACTAAATTAGCATTATTTGGTTGCACTTGTTTTGTCTGATACTGTATGTTTGTGCTCTGTCTGAACCTCTGGTGCGGTGTTTACTCACTCGTAAGTTACTTTATGTATGTATATGTTCTGTTTAAATGTTTAAATCTGTTTTGATACAGTGTGAGCTCATTAACTCTCCAACTTTTAAACTTATGCTCATCCTTTTCTCTAGTGTTTTGTTAATATTTGTAATATTTTTTTATTAATGTATTTCCCAAATATCATGCATGATGCTGTAAAGTGTTTGCAGGAAATAGCCTCTTTTAATTACTCCAGGTTAGGTCAGGTTCAGGATCATCATGATCACCCTGCTACTGGTATTATGTAACCCAATACCACCTGCATTATGCTCTGCTGCCTTGTAGAGTGTGCTTTTTCAGGCAAAGAATAGGAGAAATAAACTGCAACTTAAAAATCCCTTGCCTTAGGGTTAATTAACAGGACTGAGAAAATTGCATAGCTCAATGCTTGTGAGGCTGTGCTCTATCTATGAATGAGTTAAGTCCTCTTTAAACTTAAATATGCCAAAAGTAAATCAAAATATTAAACATAAAAAACCATCCCCATCACCTAACTGTTTTAATCTTTTACTAATATTCGTGGTCTGTGAAGCAACCTTTAATCAGTTGAATCTTACCTCTCGCAAAATTTACCAGACTTGCTTGCTCATCAGGTTCGAATCCTTTGATGATTCCTTTATGTGCTTCCGCTTAGCACCTCTTCACTTTTTCACCTTTCTCTTTGTTCTTTATTGTTTTCCTTGTTCCCAAGACTGCACTCTTTTAAATATAATTTCTGATCAAATTGACGATGCTTTCTCTTTTTACTCCTCTGCCAATATTGTTGTTATTTGTGACTTTAATGCTCATCACACTGAATGGCTCGGCTCTAATGCCTTTGATCCTGCTGGCACTAAAGCCTATAACTTCTGCATTTCTCAATCTTACTCAGATAGTTAACTTTGTTACTTGTTTTCCTGACAACCCTAATCCAACCACCCTAGGTCTCTGATCCTAGCTTGTGTTCAGTTTCTCCTTTTTCTCCCATAGGTGATTCTGACCATGCAATGATCTCTTTAAATCTTTCATCTCGTACTTCATTTTTGGACTCACCCTATCATCGCACTACTAACTATTACTCTAAAGCTGATTGGTACTCTTTTTGTGATTTTCTTTGTGACGGTCCTTGGGCGGATGTCTTTTCCCTCTCAGGTAAAAATTGTGCCTCCTACACAATCTTTTGGGTTCAGGCAGGAATGGATGCTTTTATTCCTTCTCATTGGTTCCAAGTGAAGCCTCATTCTACTCCATGGTTTCCACCCTCTTGTGCAGCTCCTATATCTAAACATAATCATTTTTTTCATCTTTTCTAAAAGAACAACTCTCTTGAGCACAAATATTATTTCGATAAATCGATGTATTAAGCTCCATTATTCTCAGTTCACTAAATTATTTGTGAATATAATCTTTATAATTTTTTCAGACCATTAAATTTAAAACAATTTTCTGGTGGAAGGCTTTGAAGTTGAATGCATTTTGGCAACATACATTTGCTACCAACTAGCCCTAGTCTCTCCTAAAGCTATTTTTTGTTGTTGTTATCAACTGCAGTTAATGGTTGAGTTTTTTCTTTATGAGTATTTTATATTTATCATTATAAATGCATACGTAACTTACAT